GAATTGGAATCACTAAAATAATTTTGAAAAAGAATAATGTGGAAAGAGTCTTACTACTGTTAATTTTAATGCTTACTCTAAAGCCACAGTAATCAAGACAAAGTTGTTTTGGCAAAGAAATAGACCCATAAGTCAATGGAACAGTCTAGAAATAGACCCACACAAGTAAAGCTGATTGATTTTTGCCATAGGAGCAAAGACAATTCAATGGATTAAAGAAAGTCTTTTCAACAAATGGTGTTGAAATATTTGGACATTTACGTGTAAAAATGAACTTGATCTAAACCTCACATGTTATACAAAATTCCTATACAGAAGTTATTATAAAAATCTTTATACATCTTATATGAAAATTAACTCAAAATTTATTATAGATCTACATGTAAAATATAAAACTACAAAATTTTTATAAGAAACATAAAAAAATTCCTTGTGACCTTGGGTTCTTTGATATGACACCAAAAGCACAATCTATAGAGGAAAAATTTGATAAATTAGACGTCATCAAAACCAAAAATGTTCTGTCAATGTCACTTTTAAGAGGATGAAGAGGTAAGCTACAAACTGGAAGACAATATTTGCAAATTACATCTCTAACAAAGAACTTGTATCCAGAATATATAAAGTACTCTCACAACTCAATAATAAGAAAACACCCCAATTAGAAATAAAGCACAGTCCTGGTGTCTGGGTGATTCCCAGGGCCCAGCAAAGGGACCAAGTTTCCAGACCCCTGGAGACAAGGGGTAACACACCGAAATCTGGACTCATGTTCCACTCCACCTTCCTCGGCTGAGCAGCTGCCAAGAACAAAGGCCGCATCGCCCAGTCCCTGGCAAACAGGTGTAGTATTGCCTCACCAATCCACTGCTTCTCTGAGGTGCCCTAGAGTGTACTTGGGGAGAAGCTTCGAGAACCAGCTGAGGAGCAGCTGTCCTGTGAGACTGGAGAGAGTCCATGACAGTCTGGATGTCAGGAAGGAAGCCGTGGTTCAGGCAGAGGAAGCGGCTGCTGAGATGACTATCCAACCAGGGTAACAGGAGAAGAAATGCTAGAAGAAGGAAAAGAAAAGAACGGCAGCGCTTGCCCTCGCTGCTTCAGAAAACAGTAGTAGTACTTGGGAGGAGCATGAGGAGATGGTTGAAAAACCCAAAAAGAAGAAAAAGCAAAAGCCCCAGGAGTTTTCTCGGGAGAATGGGATAGAAGACCACCCATCTATCTGTCTCCAAACCCAAGACAAAGAGACCTCTTTCAAGGAGGAGGTGGTTAGTAGTGGCCTTGTGGAAGCCACTGGCTGCGTGAGTCTTCCCAAGAAGAAGAAATCTTCACCCAAGGAGGGAATAGCAGTCAGTGATCCCAAGGAGGCAGGCAAGAAGAGTGTCTCTGAGAAAAAGAGGAAGTCCTCTTCCAAGGGGGAGACAGTCAGCCGAGGGCCTGAAGAGGCTGCTGGCAGCAAGAGCAGCTCCAAGAAGAAGAAAAAGTTCCACAAAGCACCCCAGGAAGATTAGAATGGACACTCCCTGTGAGGAGGGGTAGGCCATAACCCACAGTGACATTTCCCACCCCAGAGCTCATACCCCAGGAAAAACAAAATTCACACACACACATACACACACACAAAAGCAAAAGATTTTAGCAGACATGTCACCAAAGGAGATACTTGAATACAAGTGGCAAATAAGCATATGAGAAGATGTTGAATGTCATTGGTCATTAGGGAAATAGAAACTAAGACCACAGTGAGTTACAATGCACCTACAGGATAGCTATGATAATTTTTTAGAAACTGACAATAGCAAGTGTTGACGAGGATGCAGAGCAACTAGAACTCCTGTGCATCGCTAGTGGGAGCACAACATGGTACAGCCCCTCTGAAAACAGCTTGGCAGTTTCTTATAAACACACACTTACCATAGGACTCAGCCATCCCATGCCTGGATATTTACTTGGGAGAAATGCAAACTTACGTTCACATAAGATGCTGTATTCATAATCACCAAGGATCAGAAATCGCCCAAATATCCTTCAATGGGTGATGGATAAATAGACTACAGCATATCCATACAGTGGAATACTACTCAGCAAAAAAGAGGAACAAACTATTGATACATGCAACAATGTAAATGAATTTCAAATGCATTGTGCTGTGAAGGATGCCAGTCTCAGAAAGTCGCATGCTCTGTAATTCCATTTATAATACATGAGGTTGTGGGAAAGCAAAAACAAACTATAGG